ATAGAACCAAAGAAAGGCAATATTCAAGGAGATAATGGCTAAGGATTTTCCAGGACTGATAAAAGACTCAAGAAGGGCAAGTGCCAAATAAAATAAATAAAATTAAATCTATATCCAGACATGTTAGACTCAAACTACAGAACCAAAAACAAAGAGAAAATTCTTGAAAACTCTAAGAGGAAAGACAGGTTACATCCAAAGCAACAATGATGAGATAAACAGCAGACTTTGAAATTATAAAATATAGGCTAGAAAACAGGTAAATAATACCTTCAAAGTTCTTAGGGAGAATATCTGTCAACCTAGATTTCAAAATGTAGCTAAATTATTTTTAAAAATTTTATTTTTAAGTAATCGCCACACCCAATGTGGGGCTTGAAATCACAACCCCAAGATCAAGAGTCACACACTCTACCAACTGAGCCAGGCAGGCACCTCCTCCTGCCAGCTAAATTATTATTCAAGAGTGAAAGCAGTAAAAACATTTCCAGAAATGAACCGAGAGGATCAAGAATTCATAAATCCTTGCCAAAAGTCATACTTATGTATTTACTTCTGAAAGGAAGCACTGAAGTGGGAAAGAGAATTGTGAACAAAAATATTGGTAAACATGTGGGTAGAACTAAATAAGCATTGGTTGTAAAAAAAAAACAATAATGAGGATGGTGAATAATTTGGGGCTATAAAAACAAAGTTGGAGCGGCATGGTTTGGATAAAATTGTCTAAGTCCTTGAATTGCTTTAAGGGAGGGCAGAACTATTGAGAAATTTTAGACATTTTAAGTAAAAGGAAAAGAAAGAACCAAAATGTATAACCTCCAAACCACTGGGAGGAAAAAAAATAATTTAAAAAATTGACTAATGGGGAAATAAGGCATGAAAGGAGGGGGGGGAGGATAGAAAAAAGCAGAATAAGAGAAATTCCATAAGGTGATATAGATAAATCCATATATATCGTTAATCATAATAAATGTGGCTAGACTAAAACTTGTGAGTTTAAAGACAGAATCTTGCTTGCATTTTAAAATCCAAAATTTAGGGGCGCCTGGGTGGCTCAGTTGATTAAGCCTCTTCCTTTGGCTTAGGTCATGATTCCAGTGTCCTGAGATGGAGCCCCAAAATCCTGCTCAGCGGGGAATCCCCTTCTCCCTCTCCCTCCGCTCCTCTCCCTTATGCTCTCTCTCTCAAATAAATAAATAAAATATTTTAAAAAATTTAAAAATCCAAAATTTAGCTAAATTCTTTTCAAAAAAGTCACCAAAACATAAGGGCATAAGAAATGATGGGAAAAGGCCATACAGATATTAACCAAAATTGATGTAGGTATGGTAAGGTTAAACATACAAAACATATAAAACATACAAAGTGATAAATATTAGGGATAAAGAGTGCCATAGTATATTTATAAAAGAAAGAATTCACCAGGAAGATATAACAGTTCTAAATCTGTCTGCACCTAAATATATTGCCTCAAAATACATAAGAGAAAACCTGACAGAATTACAAGGAGATACCAACAAATCTATCGTTGGAGGTAAATTTTAATGCACCTCTCCATGTTGATAGAGAAAGCAGACCAAAAACTAACAAGAATATAGAAGATTTAAAGTCCAATTAAAAAAATTCAAGATGTACGTGGAATTCTATACCAAATAATTACAGAATACTCATTCTTTAAAAATACACATAGATGTTTTATCACATTGCAATACAATTAGAATTCCAAGAAACAAAAATAAAAAAAAGTATTTACTTGGAAATTAAAAAGGAGGTAGGTAATAAACCAGTTTGTGCAATATTATCCCATCTGGGGAAAAATAACATCTACTTTATGCATTGAAAAAAAGTTTAAAAAGAGGCACTAAAAATAGTAATAGTGGTTATATATGGTTTGTTGGCTTACAGGTGATTTTTAGCTTTGCTTTGTTTATTTATTTATAGCTTTGATTTATTTTTAAAGACTTTTCTGTGTTCGTTAAATTTTCCTGCTTGGCACATGTACACACACACATATATATATATATTCTAATTTAAAAAATCAACAATGAATTGCACTTAGGATAACTTGTAGAATAACAACTTGCTTGGTTTTTGCCATAGCCTCATAACTGGTCTCCTCCTTTTCATTCTGGCCCTAATATAGTCTCTTTCCCACACCATTGAGAATAAAATCCAATTTCCTAACCTGAGACTGCAAGGTTTTGGGTGACATTGCTCCAGCCTACATTTCCTTTTTTTAAGATTTTATCTATTTATTTAAGATAGAGAGAGCATGAGCAAGGGAGGGAGAGGGAAAAGCAGAAGGAGAGGGAGAAGAAGATTCCCCACTGAGGAAAGCTCAATGTGGAGATCCATCTGGGGCTCTGGGATCATGACCTGAGCCAAAGGCAGATACTTAGTGGACTGAGCCACCCAGGTACCCCATCTAGCCTACATTTCTGACCTTACTTCCAGCCACACTCCCCAGATTCACTCTAGTCCAACAATGCTGGCTTTCATTTCCTTGAACTCTCCAAGTCCTTGCTATCTAGGTCTTCACATGTGCTATCCCTTGAACCTGGAAGTCCAGCTGCTCTCCTTCCCCCAACACTCTCTTCACCTTTCCAAGTCCCAAGTATTCTTCATGTTTCAGCTGAAGTATTAAATCCTTAGGGAAGCCTTTTCTTCTCTCACTCCCCCACACTAAGTTTGGTTTCTCTGATAGATATTTTCAAAGCACCCATTCTTTTCCTTCTTAGCAGTAAAAAGAAACTTACAAATACATGTTTATGTGTTTATTGTTTGTCTTCTTTGATAAACCATTTGCTCTAGCTCTATAAGGATGGGGACCATGGATGGTTTGCCCATTGCTATATCCCCAGCACCTAATATAGAGCCAGGCATGTGGTAAGCATTCAATGGATATTTGTTGAAAGAAAGCATAAATGGATGGATGCATGATTGAATCCTCACAAGTGCTATTGGACATTATGGAAACAAAAAATGAAGAAGTTCATAAAGCAGAAGGCTACTAAGATGCCACAATTGTGGTTATATCTTTGAGTTCTCCTGGTATGGCTAAGATTCATTGAAAAATGCTGACCAGATAAGTTTCCTTTTGTCTTCTCTTTTCTCTGTCTGCTTTACTGGACTATTCCCTTTTAAAGGGAGGAAGTCCTATGAATTAGCTTAAAAACAAAATGACAGCAAAGTTGTTATTTCTGAGGCCAAAGAGTGAAGTAGGATGATGTGCAGATGGGTATAAATTACTGGATCACATTTCATTGTCTTGAAGCTCTGTTTCATTATATAATTGATACACTACAACATAACCAAAGCCCAATTCAAGTTGGCTTGGATATGCTTTATCTTCTCTTCCAGGGACAACTTGTACACATTCAGTCAGCTTGAATAATAATGGTCTCTGTAATTAGGGCCAGTACATAGGAAAAAGAGATACATTTTCCACTGACTCACTATTGCTCTTTAGAGAAGAAAAATATTGGTTACTGCTTAGGCCTCCTCCCAGATTTACACTACAGGGTATAATCTTAAATTCTTAAAATATAGCCTTCAAAAAAGATGCTGAGGAAGCAAAGTAGGACATTTTTTTGTTCCTGCAACATCATGGACTTAAATTCACAGACACTAGTTCCTTTTAGTTAATCCTACCCTCAACTCTTGCTGCCACAGAGGAGTCATGGTGTTAATTTCAATGGCAAATTCTCTACAACTCAAGGTTTTAACACAACTACTTTGGCCCAAATCTCAATCTTTTCCTTCTATTAGATCATCACAAACTAGACACTTGGTAGTTATCTACAAAAGTAAGTCCAGAAAACATCTGCTTGAATATTTAGTCCTTTAATCATACAGAAGTGATAAATATCTTTCAATTTTTCATCTCTTCTCAAAATTTCACTGTTACCTTCACAATTCTACAGTGATGTGTGAAGCCTACTTACATGAGCTTTAAAATGTGATTTATTCATAATTATGAAATAAACAGACATACAGTCTAGAAGAGGCAGAAGACATTGACATAATTCATAAAAATAGGTATGATCAATTATGAATAAAGATAGGAAATAAGAACAAGTTTTATGAATGCACTACACTTTCTTTAAATTCCTTTTAAATGTCAAGGATTTCAATACTAAATATACACACAGTACCCCGAAAGGCATTGTTAGTAATTATTAGTGCACAAAAGGAAGACTATTTTTAACTTAACTAGATCCAAATATCAAGAGCAGGACTGGGGAAGCTAAATAATGCTGTGTGCTCTGGAGTATTGCTTATTCAAGTAAAACATGTTGTTAGTATGGTGCTCCAAACTATTTATAATCCTTTGTTATTTATATTTTCCAGAATTGTGAGAGCCTAACCAGAGAACACTGTAGATCATTTGATCAAATCAATGAAAAGGCAACCAAATAAACTTTTCTGGTGATAATAATGTCCAACTGCAATGCAACCGATTGCATCATAGTATAATTAACTGGGTTAAGTTCTTCAGACTCCTGAAATAAGTGGACCAACCATTTCATGGTCATATTTCAGTTTTTTTTAAGATTTTATTTATTTATTCATGACAGACACAGAGAGACAGAGAGAGAGGCAGAGACACAGGCAGAGGAGAAGCAGGCTCCATGCAGGGAGCTGGACGTGGGACTCGATCCTGGATCTCCAGGATCAGGCCCTGGGCCAAGGCAGCGCTAAACCGCTGAGCCACCCGGGCTGCCCAATATTTCAGTTTTTAATTGGCCATGCAGTAATCTAACTGGCTAACCTGTCAGTTTTATCCAGCTATTGCTATAAAAATGGAATAACTTATGAATATGAGAAAACAATATTTCTCACCAGAGTCATAGACATGATTGTAAATATCAGGATCTCACTTTAATTGAATTTAGACCCTTTCAGAAATATGTCAGAATAATAAGATAGAAAACATTAACCAATTTTTTCAAAGTTTTATTTTTTATCAGTGCTATTGTGCCATTTTTCCTCCTTATTCATGAAGTTTTAGAAGAAATTAATGAGATCCAGTTCTCTTTTCATAGTCATGGTGACTTCAAGAGTCTCAGTCTCCAGGATATAGAAAGCTTTGGCACTGCTGCATTCCACAGGTTGAGGAAGAGTTATCAACAGCTTCCTAAAAAACAGAACAAAACAAGACAGGATAAAAACCCAGAATCAGCTTCCTAAAGTGAAATCCAGAAGATGTCACTTTTAATAAGGTAATGGAAAGCAATACAAAGTATCAGAAGATTAGGAACCAAAGCACAATACTTAGACAGTACAAGTACTGGATCAAAAATACGCCTAAATAACATAAATTATATACCAGAGTTTTGGCCTTAAAAGTCCAAGCAGGGGTTTTGATCCCCCACTATTTTTTTTTTCAAAATTGACCTCATTTTGCATTATAGACACATAGTCTCAGGCTTGGATAATAGGCAGAAGAATACAGCCACTGCAACTTTATTTTTTTTTAAGATTTTAAAATTTTATTTATTTTTTTCAGGGAGAGACAGAGCATAAGCATGAGCAGGCGGAGGGGCAGAGGGAGAAGCAGACTCCCCACTGAGCAGGGACCTCAATGCAGGGCTTGATCCCAGGACTCTGGGATTATGACCTGAGCTGAAAATAGATGCCTAACCTACTGAGCCACCCAGGAGTCCCGAGCCACTGCAATTTTAAGTTGGTTGGATAGATCTGTTGCCAGCCATGCTTACATGTAGATGGAATGTGATTGACACAAATCTGAAAATTGGAATAGTTCTATAATAATTCTGCTAATGCAACCTTAGGCTGAGTCTCCACTACAGGTATAGTTATTGAAATTCGGCCTGGAATAATTCTAATACCAGATCAATGAAAGTGCTACTCTGGGCTTGCTTCTGGTTCTTTCTACTATACATTGAATGAAAGCCTTGTGAGAGATTTCAGGGTTTATTTTGCAGTTGTGGCTCAGTTGCTGGATAGCTGTATGCTTTAGATGCATTGCTGGGATGAGACATCCATAATTCTCTCATAGTGGAATGAATCTGTATTATGCATGGGGTCAGCACATGCTGGTAGCTGAAGAAAATTAAATGCACAAAACTCGTTACCTCACATTCTTCATAGAGAAGGCTTGAGTATGTCTATAAAAAGTGGACCAAAAAACTCTTTTAGAAGGCATAAGACCCAAATTAGTAAAGTAATCTGGTATTTTTTAGGGATACTTACTGAATACTTGTATAAATAACTAGTGTTTGAAAACAAACTCTTGAAAACCAATTGCCTCTTTACTCATTTGCAAATATTTAAGTTCAGGAAATTGGGCTCATTAAAAGTATTTATCACATGTCTCTGGAACCTAAAGGAGAAATTTTCTGTTACTCTTGTTCCATTCCAGATATTTAGAGTAGGAAAAACTCTCCCTATCAGAAGTAATGATATGGTGATGTATTTTAATATAGTCTATATTTGGCATCTCAAAAAAAGCAGGTGCAAAAAATATTTAGAGTCTATCTTTTTAAAATTGTTTATAATATAGGTTGAGCTGGAGTTAGATTTGCTTTATCCTTTATCCTACAAATGATAATATATGCACTTTAAAAATAAAGCAAAGCTCAGTGGTGGTAGCTTCATTGCACTAAGACAACTATAAATCAGCCAAAGAAGGAGTTCTAATGATAATGTACACCTCTTTGTCCAGAGAGAAATAAATTCAGAAGAGACAGTGGCCATTGTAATGATCCATCTATCCCTGCATTTCTGTCTAGTCTTTAGTAGTATGGCTTCACATACTAAAATTTTGAACAACAGAAACTGAAACTTATTTAGGATCTTAGGAGAAAGGAAGTATTTTTGTCTAGTCTGTTTTACTGCTTGATATCTGAGTTGAGATTTATATTTAAACAAAATAAAATTCTACAAATACTTTTCCATGTACAATTCATTGAAGGACAGAACTATATCTTATCTTCGTGTCCCCCCAGTGTCTAGCAGAAGACTTATAAATGTTTGTTGAGTGAATAAATAAATGGATGAAAAGCAAATAGGTCACCACAAAATAATATTTGAATACCTACTATAGATTAGCACTACCACATATGAATAAACATTTAAACCCAATCCCTCAGCCTTTATATCGATAGTGTACTTGCTTTTAAGAAGCTACAGTTTAAGCACTGATCAAATGTTTATCCAGTGTTGATTTTCATTAGCAATTATTTAAACGTGAACTATAATATGTAAAAGTAAAGACAAAAAAACTATCCATAAAATGAACTCTAGAGACTTGCATACTTACATTTATATTAGCAAAGTCAAGGTGATGTTCCTTGCAAGAGATTTAAATACAGGACAACCTTGTTCTGTGCATATTCACATAATGCAGCTTTTATTTTACATAGTTAATAAATTATTTTATCTAAATATCTGGGTTAAAATAAATATGGCTTTTTAAAGGTTTTCTATTGGAACCATAACTATTTTCAAAGTGCAGATAGCTACTGAGCTGAACTTCACTATTTCATTTTGAAAACATTTTTTCACTTTGAGTATCAGTCAATTCTCAATCGATCTGAATTAAAGGACACAGCAAAGGTGAGAATAATCTGAACAGCATTCAACCAAAAATTAACTCATACTTTTATTTACAATATGCTTTTATTTTCCCATTCAAGGAACTCATTTATGACATTCTTAGGATTCACTTCAAAAAATAATGAAACCTCTTATGAAGACAAAAGTCCTTGGGAAATTATCCAATTTCCCCTATCTTTCCTCCTTTCCATCTACTCCATGTTGGGAATTGACATGCCAAAACAACCAGTTTTTTAAAAATGAAAAATTTAAGACATTGCTTTATTTCTTAAGGTTGTATAATTCCAAAAATCTGGGTTTTATTGATAATTCTAATGCAGTTAACTATCATTTGACTGATATTACTAGTCCATTCAATTAAAAAAGGATACAGTCAACAAAACTCAAAGACAACCTACAGAATGGGAGAAGATATTTGCAAATAACATATCAGATAAAGGGCTAGTTTCCAAAATCTATAAAGAACTTATTAAACTCAACACCAAAGAAACAAACAATCCAATCATGAAATGGGCAAAAGACATGAAGAGAAATCTCACAGAGGAAGACATAGACATGGCCAACATGCACATGAGAAAATGCTCTGCATCACTTGCCATCAGGGAAATACAAATCAAAACCACAATGAGATACCACCTCACACCAGTGAGAATGGGGAAAATTAACAAGGCAGGAAACAACAAATGTTGGAGAGGATGCGGAGAAAAGGGAAGCCTCTTACACTGTTGATGGGAATGTGAACTGGTGCAGCCACTCTGGAAAACTGTGTGGAGGTTCCTCAAAGAATTAAAAATAGACCTGCCCTACGACCCAGCAATTGCACTGTTAGGGATTTACCCCAAAGATTCAGATGCAATGAAATGCCGGGACACCTGCACCCCGATGTTTCTAGCAGCCATGTCCACAATAGCCAAACTGTGGAAGGAGCCTCAGTGTCCATCGAAAGATGAATGGATAAAGAAGATGTGGTTTATGTATACAATGGAATATTGCTCAGCCATTAGAAACGACAAATACCCACCATTTGCTTCAACGTGGATGGAACTGGAGGGTATTATGCTGAGTGAAGTAAGTCAATCGGAGAAGGACAAACAGTGTATGTTCTCATTCATTTGGGGAATATGAATAATAGTGAAGGGGAATATAAGGGAAGGGAGAAGAAATGTGTGGGAGATATCAGAAAGGGAGACAGAACATAAAGACTTCTAACTCTGGGAAATGAACTAGGGGTGGTGGAAGGGGAGGAGGGCGGGGGGTGGGGGTGAATGGGTGACGGGCACTGAGGGGGACACTTGACGGGATGAGCACTGGGTGTTATTCTGCATGTTGGTAAATTGAACACCAATAAAAATTAATTTATTAAAAAAAAACAAGAGCAGAGATTGCTTTCATTTCTAAAATTTTAAAATTTGTGTTAAACTCTCACACGGTAGAAAGACAGATCAATTATTCCAAGATCAATAACCACTTCTTTTGTAAAATATACACTAGATTTGAACCATAAGGTTGGATTTGGGATAAAAGGGCGTAAACTGAACCACAGTTTTGTACTTACTGTAGTAAAACGTAAATTATGTATAAAATAGTTTCAACACAATGATAAAAAAAATAAAATAGATTCACTTGTTCTGTCTTATACATACACGAACAGCACCTCTCTGCACAGAGCATTTAATATATAAGAACAGTTTATGATGCAAAAATTCTAGTGTAGCTCACATTCTATGTGGACAGGTATCTCTGTGTGAGTCTTTCATTTAGTGGGCTCTGATAGATATCTGGAATGACAGCATAGACAGAGCAGCTGCCTAAAGATTGATGGAGAACTGCTACGGAAATGGAAATTAACTCCATGGTGTGTAGATATGTATGTGCTTTTAACAAGCACACCAATATCATGGAAGATTAACTGTTCATTTAAGCAACTTTCCATGCAGAGGTTGTATGAGAGAATAGAAGCATTTATAATATGAATTTAAAAAGTACAATAATCCTTGAAGTGAATGGTAGGAATAGTGGGTGTAATTTTTATAACATGAGACAATTTCTTGTGAGAATATATTTTGGAAATGATAAAAGTAATGAAAAATATTTTATATATATTCATCTGTAGATCATTTTGGGTTAAATCCATCTGCTGTAATGAAATCAAGGTTAAGCTATGTATATACACTGGGTTGTTTACACATAGAAGTCTTTTGTGTGAAGGATCTACTTTTTATTTTTTGAAGTCCTAAGATCAACAGGGGAGAACTATTGATACTGATAATGTAAGAAAGAAAAGGTGCCAGTAGCTGACTGCTAGCCACACCCAGTTTGAAATGTTCGTGAGTTACAGAGAAAGAACCGCTGCTATCAACCCAAGTGTGCTAACTGCTATACATTGAGATGAAAAGTGAACAAAGCAGTGAGATATTTATTTATTTATATTTTAATTTTTTTAGCAGTGAGATATTTAGATATTTTATCTAGTTCTTTACAGTTGGTTTTGAGAGACAGCACTGATTTGTCCAGGCTTCAAGATAATATTTATATCAGAATCTTACTGTATGTTGTGCTTTGGGAAGATAATTTGAACCTGTGTAACAGGACTCTTGAAAATATCAATGCTTAATTGAATTATTCCACTATTACCTGTATTCTTTTTCAATGTATTCACACTACTTGAGGAGCTAGTGATAAATTAGTTGTTAGAATTTTTGTTTTAAGTAATTGATGACAAGATTTTTCTGTTCATTTCTAGATAAGTATAATCAAATTTAACTTTAGAGCCCCACAAAAACTACAAAGTTTAAAGATATTGCTTCTTTTATGCCATCATTGTACAAAAAAACACATGAAAGACTTACATCTTAAGAGATTTTCACCTCTCATTATTTTTCCTCACAGATAAGCAAAAACTATATCTGAATGTCAAGAACTGTTTTGGTGATATCAACCTACTCCAAATGTATGGATGCAAAGCAGAAAAAAATTAGGTGTTTCCAAATACATTTATATTTATACTATGTCGATCAAACATCTGAATGACTTTCACTTTTTTTCAGACTTTAGGGGTGATGCAAAATAACAATGTACACTTTAAGAATATTGACTAAAGTTTCGTTAATATTATAACATGTTATTCTAGTTCTTTTTTGTTGTTGTTGTTATTCTAGTTCTAAGTAGTACTCACTTATTAGGAGTACGGAGGTCAATGATCAATTCCTGGATATCAATTTTAATTTCAGAAGGGTTCGTATTTGGCAGTTTAATTTTAACCTGAAAGAGAAAATGAGAAGAAAAATACTGCTGTCTTGAAGAACAGTTAATGTGAAGACTGTAGGGAAATAAGTGGAAATGAGAACTAATTTATTAAGTTCCAGCTTTGTGCAGGGCTAGGCCCTTCCCTCATAACAATCTTGAGAGGCAGGAATACCCTCATTTTATAGATGGTGAAACTGAGATATGGATAAGTTTACTGAGTGGCCCACGAGCAATTGTGTATAATTGAACTAAGGTCTGTCTGACTCCAATGCTATATAGGAACATGTTGGTTACTTGCTTGTAACTTTCATTGTCTGAAGGTATAGACTAGTGCACCTGCTAAGGTTGGGGGCTTTCAATGGACTTTACATCAGTTGACACTTTGAATAAAAAGTAGTTAGTTCTTAGGTTGGGTGTGGGTTGGTGATGCCATCTGTAGTATCCCAGTATATACTCCCATACCACAATTCCTAGAGAAGTGTAGGAACCCCTAATAGTTATTAACAGAAGACAACAACATGATCCTTACACACACACACAAATGGGACTGTTGATTGGTTTGGTAAGATTTTACTGAAAAATGTCTCATCTCAATTAGCACATGACCCAGCAATTCTACTCCTGAGTACCTACCCCAGATCATTTAAAACAGGTGTTCAAACAAAAACCAAATGTGGTATAGCCATACAATAGAATATTATTCAGCCATAAAAAGCAATGAAGTACTATTACATGGAGGAACCCTGAAACATTAAGCTAAGTGAAAGAAGCCAGGCCCATATTGTAGGACTCTATTCATATGAAACATCCAGAATATGTAAACCCATAGAGACTGAAAACAGATTGGTGGATGCCAGAGGCTGGAGATGGAGAAAAGAGGAGTGACTGTTTAGAGTACAGATTTCTTCCTGGGTTGATGGAATGTTCTGGAATTAGATATTGGTGATGGTTGCACAACATTGTCAATGTACTACATGTCACTCTCAGTAAATTTTATATTGTGTATTTTACCACAGTACAAAGCCTCATCTCTCACTCTAATTAAGTCCCCCTTTTTAAAAGATTTTATTTATTTATTCATGAGAGATATACAGAGAGAGAGAGGGAGAGAGACATAGGCAGACAGAGAAGCAGGCTCCCTGGGAGCCTGATGTGGGTGGGACTCGATCCCAGCACCTTGGGATCATGCCCTGAGCCAAAGGCAGATGCTCAACCCCTGAGCCACCCAGGTGCCCCTTAATTCTCTTTTTGATACAAGTTGCTGATCTATCTATCTATCTATCTATCTATCTATCTATCTATCTATCTATCCATCCATCTATGGTTTCTATAAACAAATGAAAACAACTTAAGTTTAAGGTAAATTATAAAGCCTTCTCTAAAATGAGCTAGAAGACTTGAAATATCAGACATCTGGTGATTTAAGAACTGGAATGGTAAGGATGAAAGCACCAGGTTATGACGGAAATACATATCAAATAAGTAATGGAGAAAATGGAATTCCTTGTAAGAAGCTTAAAGAGGGCAATAGTGTTTTTACAATATGAAATATGTGGACCATTACATGTATGTAAGTTTTATATTTTAAGTTTACTAAATATGCATATAAAAATATTTGTAAATAGAGCTCCAGAAGTCCTATTACCTAAATATATCCTATGGCTAATATTTTCATTAGGCAAAGAATTACCTCCTAATTTATATTTTGAAAATTCAAATCTTCATAATAACAGATATTTTAAGAGAAATAGAGCATTTCTTAAAGTGGTAGTTATAGGTGCTCTACATCAAAGTAAATGTCCAGAGCATTCTACTGGACAAAGAAAGACCTATTTTTATTATAATAACTTGCAGATCTGATAGTTGAGAAGTTCTTAAGTTGCAGGATGACTCATATCACCTGGACCAAGGCATATAAATATTTATTTCTTTAGTATGAAATGTTTAGATTTTTCAAGGTAAAAGATAATTTCCCCAAGGTTGAAATGACATTTGAGAAAGGAAAAAAATTATAACTTATGTGAAATTTAGATACAACTCCTGGGTAGAACTTTAAAGTGGTTCTTAAAATCACTTGCAACTCTAGTGAAGGGTAATTCAGAAACAACTCACTAATTTTTCCTCTTGAGAAAATTAAAATTGTGTACTAAAAATGGTTTCAGAAGAGGGACAGGAAGGAACAAATTAAGTGGAATCATACACATTAATATCTCATAAGGTAGAAGGTTCAATAGGAATCTTAACAGAAAAATTTCTGAAACACTAAATCAGACTTCTTTAGAAATACTTTTATTTTTTTTAAAGATTTTATTTATTTATTCATGAGAGACACAGAGAGAGAGAGATGGGGGCAGAGACACAGGCAGAGGGAGAAGCAGGCTCCATGCAGGGAGCCTGACGTGGGATTCAATTCCAGGTCTCTAGGATCTCACCCTGGGCTGCAGGCGGTGCTAAACCGCTGGGCCACCGGGGCTGCCCTAGAAATACTTTTAATGAATTCCTGGAAAATAGACATGGTTATTTATTGACTTCAAACTGATTGACAGAAGGGTTTGGACTAAAAATTTAAAACATAATCTTATTTAATTTATGGATTTGGAATATTATAAAAAAATTTTTATTTGACAGAAATACAGCAGCTACTTCCAATATATTTGATTCTTAGCAAAGAAGTTAAGACTATTTGAGTTTCCATTTGAAACTTAGTGTTAGGAAATTTTGATTAACAGAAAAAGTTTGGGTAGGTCTCATCCCAAATTGCTTCAGTATTTTAACTTCCTGTTATTTAACTATGGAAGCCCATGTCTAATTATGGAGACCCTTTTCCCATTGCAGCCATCTAAGTATTTTATAAAAATTCTCATGAGAAAAAAAATTCTCATGAGCAATAAAGATCTATAGGAAAATGAAAAATATTAAAACTGATGGATCCCTACTTTGAAATAATATAAACATTTACCTCTGAAGAATAAACATATAGAGGTATGTGTTCTCCAAAGCCAGGACACAAAACCAATAGATATCTTTTTAAATTAATGGATAAGTTTTCTATGATGTTAGCACTTGGAAAGATTCCAGTACTATACTGTCATGCCTGTCTTATGAGATCATGGAAGCATAGTACTTCTTTTTGTACCTTTTCTCTCACAGGAGTCCAGGGTAAGCTCAGCTCATTCTGGAATAAGATTTGTCTATAGGACCTCCATATCTCTACTGGCCCCCATGATCACCCTCAAACACTCACAGCCTCACTACCACTAGCTGTCTTGAGACACCAGAACTAAATACATTATACTTTTATCTCTATTTGTCAATAAACACAAGGAGCCTCAGACTCCCGAGTCCTTGTTTATAACCTAATAATGACCATCTGGATATTCATATCTCCCATTTTGTTTCCAATTCCTATGACCCACCAACTCGTGAAACACTTCCATAGGTCCTCCGGAACACACAGTCCATCATCCCTTATCACTTCAGCCTCTGAATATTCCTTTCAATTTCTTGAAATCTGAATCTCCCTTGATGACACTCCCTAGTCTTCTCAAGTGGTGCCTGTTTCTTTTTCCTCCCATTACATTTATATCCCTGGGCATGCCCCTTCCCTCTAGCTTTTAAAAATGAATCTCATGTCTTCACACTATACCACCAGTTACCCTCCTTGTTGCAATCACCTTCCAATTCTTTACTTCTCTGAGAATAATTCTTTGTTAGCTATTGATACTTCTAACATTAAATTTCTCTCTTCAGTCTTGATAATTTATATCTGTTTAGACAACTTGTCCAACCTCCTAGCCTAACTTTCGCATGTCCTTCAAGTCTTTGCACAAATATTTCTTTCATAGTGAGGCCTTCCCTGATCATACTGTTTAAAATTGCAGCTATGGGGTGCCTGGATGGTTCAGTCAGTAGAGTATGTGACTTTTGATCTCAGGTTATGAGTTCAAGCCCTGCATTGGGCATGGAGACTACTAAAAAAAAATTGCAGCTACTAACAACCTTAGTATGCCCTATCACTTCCCTTGTTATTTTCTACTTCACAGCATCTGTTGCCTTCCAATATACAATAAAATTTATGTATTTTGTTCATTTTTCTCTCACACTAGAAGGTATGTTCTGCTAGGGCAATGATAAACTTATGCTTTGTTTCTATGGTATCTTCAGTGCTTAGGATAGAACCTGGCACATGGTAAGCACTCAGTAAATAATTGTTGAATGATGAATAAATGCAAGTGTAGTTCAATATTAAGAGATTTAATAAAATTTACCATTAGATCAAAAGAAAAAGTATCATATAATCTCCACAAATTTTTCTTGTTGTTGTTTTTTTGTTTTGTTTCTGTTATAAAATAGCACTTTTAATGTGAAGAACCATGAAAATGACAATAGCAAGCCTTTAATATGACCTATATACACTTTTAAACATTCTACCTGGGACCACATCATTTAATTCCTATGAAAATAGTTTTTGTTATTTATTATATATATATTTTTTATTGGAGTTTGATTTGCCAACATATAGTATAACACCCAGTGTCCCCCTCAGTGCCTGTCACCCAGCCACCCCATCCCCCCACCCACCTCCCCTTCTACAAATCTTAAAAGGGCATTTTATCAAATTCATCACCCATTCTTACTTAGAACTCTTAATAAAATCCGAATAGATGAATAGTTCCTTAACACACAACCCCAAAGTCAGCATCTGAATGAGTAGTCAAATGGGGAAGCCCCAGAAACATTCAAATTAAAGTGAGAGGAAATAATGACCAACACTTACTACTCTAATGTAATATGGTTCTAGATGTACAGACTGATGCACTTAAACAAGAAAAAAATAGGAGGTAAAACTGTCATTATCTAAGGGAAGAGTATTCCAGGTAGAATGAGAAGCAAGGTACCAGGAAATAACCTGACACATTAAAGAATCATAAAGAAGGCCAGGATGGCTAAAACATAATGAACAAGGAAGAGAATGTGGTGTCAGATGAAACTGAAAAGTAGGTAGGTGTCAGATC